TTTTTTTTTTTTTACACACTTATTTTTTGAAGTATACATCTAAATATGTTTCATTCACTGCCATGGTATTCCCAGCACAGTGTTTTTTGGAAGGGAACACTCTTTTGTATATCTGACTGTTATGATGACAAGTTAGGATAGACTATTATGGCATATACCAAATATTACAGATAACAGATCATTCGAAAAGAAAAAATAAGTTTTTTTTTGTCACTTTCAGTGGCATTTTTTGCCCTGAGCCCTGGTTAATTTCTGTCTCTGGTATAAATGCATGGGCCAGTGTTGGGTCTGTGTGCACGAGTGAAGCAGGAAGCAATCACAGGCTGATGGAGGAGCTGGCAGACCCTTCACGGGTCAGTGTGTGCAGTAATGACTCCATCACTGATTCCATCACCATCACATACAGGAATTCCCTGTCAGTCCACATCACAGGAATGATCTTGTATCCCGTGTTCTGTTTCAAAAGACCCACTGAGACATAATCTTTTACTAAACTATCCTCTCTTCACTCATGCACACACTTATTTTTTTTTTTACAGAAGATTTTGCATCACTTATTTTTTTTTTCGAGCTGAGCAGGAATCTGACTCATTCACGTCATTAGAACACTGAGCTGTATTCAGCTGTTGAATGTTATCGCAGTACTGGTCATTTGCTTGGGCAGAATACAGCAATGATGTAACATTTCTTACTTGAGTTTGTACCCAAACCCACTATTATCTATTCAAACATCATTTTGTCTTTAAAATAAACTGTATGTAATGACTTTTAAAACCTAAACTCATTTAATGATATTTTATTCTTTTGTGGTTTGTTATGTAGCTGTTCAGTTGAGATATTTTTCACTTATAATAATAATAATAATAAAAAACAGAAAATAAAGCACATTTAGTGCTAATGCTAACTGTGTAATAATAATGCTAACTGTAGTATATATTAAAACATTTTTAAAAAATATATATATTTCGTACATATAAAGCTTTTGCATATAGATATACTTATAACACTTAATGCAAATTCATGTTTTATTTCTATTTTTCCATTAAGCATTCATTCATATTACATGATTTCTGTGGGTTGCAGTTTTACAGATGTCAGTTTAGTGATAATCACTCATTTTTAAATATATTTTTAATGTGATAATATTTACTTATCACTCTTATGATCACTTATTAAAACTCTTAGTTCAGTTTTGGAAAAGAAAGCATTGGCAAAACGAA